CAGTCCCCTCCCCTGCCGCTCTCATTTATTGCCCAGTCTGGGAGGGTCCCTTCCCTGCCTGCCGCCCTCACACTCCCAGCTTCTCTGTGCGGCAGGAGCCAGCAGGGGGAGGAAGCTCTGCCCATCTCCCCAGGCCTGGCCTGGCTTTTCCAGCCACCTGCAGCCCACAGCCCGCCGGGGCTCAGGGCCCACCCCAGCACCCCACCGCAGGGGCATGCCTCAGAGCTGAGCTGCCCCTGGCCTGCCTGGGGACGTAGGAAGTTGCAGCCGAAGGCTGCTTCTTTCTGCTCCTGAGCGGGGGCTGTTAGGGGCTCCCGGGATGACCCTGCCCCGCAGCAGGGCATAGATGCGGGGCGGGCGGGAGATTTGCAGCCCACACTTGTGTCACAGAGGTGCCAGTCCCAGCGTCGCGGCTGGTAGTCTCCCGAGGCAGGGTGTGAAATGCGGCTGGCAACCCTGGCCAGGCCCAGCACATGGATGGGCTGCGTGCTAACGTCCCACCCTGCAGCAGAGGAGGCGACAGATCCCAGCCACAGCCAGGAGAAACCCGGGGGAGCCTGGGAGAGCCACAGGGCCTGTCTGTGTCGGCCACCTCCAGGGAACATCCCCATCTCGGCCTGCTCCCCTGGGCAGTGACTGCTTGAGAAAAGCAGAGCCCACCTGGCACAGACGGCTGCACCCCACAACTCAGGAGCCCCCCAGGACTGGCACTCAGGGCCTGCCCTGTCTCTAGGACAGCTCCCCCGCCCCTCTCCAACCCTACTACCCACCATCCCCAGCTGGCTCCTGCAGGAGCACGCCCCGTTGGGGGAGGGAAAGCACATAACAAGCCAAACCTTCCCAGGGCAGAAATGTCGTCTCCCGATTGCCCTGGCTCCAGTGTTTGCTGCTCGGTGTGATGTTCGGCGTTGCCAGGTTCCCTTCTACAGACCGGCAGTGGCTACAATGCCTGCTCTGGTGATTACCGGCCTGTGGGCCCGGAGCCAGGAGTCAGCCGCATGGAAGGGGCGATTCAGGGTGCGAGTCCTGCCCAGACCAGCAGGGCTCTCTGGTGTCCCGGAAGCCCTCTTCTACCTGGCTTGTTCCGGGTTCACTCCCTGGAGCCTGGGTACCAGGAGTCCTGCCTGGAATGCAGCCAGCCCGGGATGGGAACCGAAGGGGCAGGAGCCGTCCACAAGGAGCAGTCCCAGGCGGAGAGTGGCCTGGTCACACTCAGTGCTGCCTGGACCCTGCCTTGTGGGCTGTGGTGGCCCCGCGCTCGCAGTGCAGCGTCAGCCCCCCTTCCCGGCTCTGCTCTGGTCCCCATGCTCCAGTGCTGCCAGCCTCCCTACCCCATCTGCAGGGCTTGCGCGGGGCTCTGGTGGGATCGCAGACACGAGTCTCAGATCTCCTGCATCGGCTGCGCATTAAGGTGCTGGGATCCAACTGGCCTGGACTGCAGTTCATCCCAGCAGGCGAATGCCACTTCCCTCCCGACGATGGTCCCTGTTCTGTCCCCGTCGTGCAGGGAGCAGCACGGCGGGGGAAGGGTTCTCGCGGGACCCCGACGGCTCCGCTCAGAGCGCGAGAATCAGGCACATTGCGCAGAGGGAGACAGCCAGCGAGACGGGGCCAGCAAATCGTGGACGGTGCTTGAGCTGCCTATGCCCCTCCCCCGCCGGGTCTGTCAGCGCCGGGGATCTGCAAGGGACAGCCGCACTGGGCCGGTCAGCCCAGACCTCATAGACTCATAGACTTTAAGGTCAGAAGGGACCATTATGATCATCTAGTCTGACCCCCTGCACAGTGCAGGCCACAGAATCTTGCCCACCCCTCTTAGAATAATCCTCTCACCTATGTCTCAGATATTGAAGCCTTCCAATACTTTGAAGGCCCCAACATGCAGAGAGTCCTTCAGCTGTGATCTATGCCCAATGCTACAGAGGAAGGCGAAAAACCTCCAGGGCCTCTGCCAATCTACCCTGGAGGAAAATTCCTTCCTGACCCCAAATATGGCGATCAGCTAAACCCTGAGCATGTGGGCAAGACTCACCAGCCAGACACCCAGAAAGTTCCCTATAGCAACTCCTATCATCCCTCCATTGACCTATTTCCAACTGGAAATGAATGGTCAATTAGTTACCAAGATCATGTTATTTCATCCAACCATCCCCTTATCATAGAATCAGAACTGGAAGAGACCTCAGAAGGTCGTCAAGTCCAGCCCTCCGCTCTAGGCAGGACCAATCCCATCTAAATCAACCCGGCCAGGGCTTTGTCAAGCCGAGACTTAAACACCTCTAGGGATGGAGACTCCACTACTTCCCTAGGTAACCCATTCCAATGCTTCACTACCCTCCTAGTAAAATAGTTTTTCCTAATATCCAATCTGGACCTCTCCCACCACAACTTGAGACCATTGCTCCTTGTTCTGCCATCTGTCACTACTGAGAACAGCCTCTCTCCATCCTCTTTGGAACCTCCCTTCAGGAAGTTGAAGGCTGCTATCAAGTCCCCCCTCACTCTTCGCTTCTGCAGACTAAACAGACCTGCAGTCTGCTTCATCCCCCAGCCACCCCTCCTCCAACACATGGGCAGCCAAGGCACTGGCCTTTACGCCCGGCTCTGCCACCAACCTCGGGCAAGTCACAGCCCTGCACCGTGCCTCAGTTTCCCTTCCCGCGTCTTGGCTATTTGGACTGAGCTTTTCAGGGAAAGGCAGCCCCTTAGCTCCAGCTCTTCCAAGGTCTTCCCACTGCAGCCAATGGAAGTGAGGTGGCTCAACGCCTGGGGGGCCTGGGGCTTAGCCACACCTGAGCTCCAGTCCGGTTTTCTCGTGCAGCCAAGTCCTCGCTCAGCGTCTGTACTGTGCCGAGCGCAGTGGGGCCCTCAGCCCGTTCCGCAGAACCAGCAGAGCTCCCATGGCCAGAACCAGCCCTGCCCGTCACTCCCAGTCCAGATCCTCCTCTGCCCCCAGACTCATTCCCGGGGATTCCTACCATGGCTCCCCGGCTGACCTTGCCCCCAGGAAAGCCGGAGGAATTACTGCACCCCATGGTTTTTGGCCAGTACTTCCCCACCACTCAGCCCCTCTGCAAATCAGGGGCCAGCTCTGTAACCAAGCCCTTAACCGCGGTGCAGTGCCCCGACCTCGGAGCTCCCTGCGGCGTCTCCCAGACTCATTCCCGGGGATTCCTACCATGGCTCCCCGGCTGACCTTGCCCCCAGGAAAGCCGGAGGAATTACTGCACCCCATGGTTTTTGGCCAGTACTTCCCCACCACTCAGCCCCTCTGCAAATCAGGGGCCAGCTCTGTAACCAAGCCCTTAACCGCGGTGCAGTGCCCCGACCTCGGAGCTCCCTGCGGCGTCTCTGGTCCCGCTCCCAGCCACGTGGCCCTTCTACCCATCCCCACCCCAGCCACAACTGGGACATCACCATCGGCAGCCAGAGCCACTGACCCAGGGCACCAAGCAGGTGCAGAGACCCGAAGCCTGGCTGGACCCCCAGCATCTGGCCCTGAGATGCACTGACAGGAGGCTGCCTCTGCCCGGCCTGGCCACCTACCTCCCTTCAATGCACCGAGGGCCACGTGGCCCCTCATGAGAACACGCCCCAAGAGAGGTGGCTGCACTGGCTGTTGGCCGGGGAGCGCAGGGAGACGGAACGATGGTCCCATGCTGCACACAGCTGCCCTGCCACTGCCATGCTGCTGCCTCTGGCAACTCAGGACAGAACCTCCCGCCAGCCAGGATCCACCCCAGGGGCTCTGGGCACCACCCTGCAGAGGTCTCAGAGCCAGGGCTGGGCCCCCCGGCCACACCCCGTCCCCCGGCAACGCGCACGGGGTAGGCCAGGTAGAGGTCGAGCTCCTTGACGGAAACGCTGATGTGGTGGGGCTGGACGCACAGGATGGGGTTGGTGCACTGGGCTGCTCTCCAGTGGGATGCCCTTGAAGAGGATCACCATGACCAGGTCCAAGCGCCACACCTTGTCAGCCTGGCGCAGGCAGTCGATGCGCCGCATTTTGCCCTTCTGGTCGGGGTTGGAGAGGACGCAGCAGGAGGGCTTCTTGCCCGTGATGGAGAGCACAAAGTCCTCCCGGCACTCGGGCCGGATGTCCTTGCGCAGCTTGGCCAGCAGCCGGGATGCCCACTTCTGCTTGACCTCGGGCTTCTCGCTCAGCAGCTCGTCCTTCACCGCCCTCTCCTCGTCCTTCGTCATCCTCTTCTCGTGCTTCTTGAAGTACTTGCGCTTGCGGGCCTGCAGGTTGAACCAGGTGTAGGCGAAGGCCCGGACGTGCGGGAGCAGAGCCTCGATGAACGGGTGGAACTCATCCTGCGGGAGCAAGCAGACAGACCCGCCGTCAGGACCGACGGGCAGGACCAAGGCCCTGGGGACCGGGCACGCGGGGATTCTGTTGAGCCCGGGGTTCAGTGAGAACGTGGCATGGGGGGTGGGGCGCCAGGACTCCTGGGTTCTCTCCCCAGCCATGGGGAAGAAGGGGACTCTAGGGGTTACAGCTTGGGGACTAAGTCTCGGCTTGACAAAGCCCTGGCCGGATGGATTTAATTGGGATTGGTCCTGCCTTGGGCAGGGGGCTGGACTTGATGACTCCTGAGGTCTCTTCCAGCTCTATGATTCTATGATTCCATGACTGGGAGACAGGACCCCGGGTTCTCTCCTCACGTCTGGGGGCAGGGTGCGTAGAGCAGGGGGGCAGGGAGCCAAGACTCTTGGGTTCTCTGGGAGGGGAGTCGGGGCTAGTGGTTAGAGCTGGGGGGCAGCTGGGGGGCAGGTCTGGAAATCGGGACTCCCAAGCTGTCTTCCCAGTGTGTGTCCTGCAGCGCCAGGCCTGTGCTTGGGGGCTGAGGCTCTGGGGGGCTGTGACCAGGCAGGGAACTTGTGTTTTGGGGGTCCCGGGGCACAAATGCTGCCAACTGTCGAGGCTCTGACTCCAGGCTAGAGCGAGGAGGCTGCAGCCACAGTAACCCAACCTGCTCCCCTGCCCTCCTGCCCCAACGTCCCAGAAATCCAGGCTCAGATTTCCCCGTGGCCGTGCCAGGTGCACGGCATCCAATGATGAAATCGGTGCCAGGCGAGCGTCGGCCCAGCTGGACCAGGGAGCAAAGAGCTCTCCTCCAGCCGGATGGGGCTGCAAACAGCCCTGCTGGAGGGCACGGTGGACTGGATTTGTGAGCCGGACATGCCGGGGCATGAGCATGAGCCCACGTGCCAGGGAACATGTGCCAGCCCATGCCCAGGGCCAAGCAGTTCAGGCCCAGCGTCCGCTCCTCCAGACGGCCACAGCAGGGTACAGCCTGGCACTGACGGGCGGCCCAGTGACCAACAGAACCATCGCCAATCGCAGCCCCAGCCAGGGAACGCCCCAGGGAACGCCCCAGCCAGGGAACGCCCCAGATTCACCCCACTTCTGGCTCAGCCCCCGCCCCGCGGATGAGTCACGCTCTGACTGGCTTTTTCCACTTGGCTAGTGTTTCCCAGCGTCCGGCCCAGAAAGAAACCAAGAAAATTGCCTCCCCCTCCGTACTTGAGTTTCCCGTTTTGTGGCTTGGGGGACACGACTGTGGGGACGCACAACGGCACTAGGTGCTAGGACTCGTCTCCCAGGGCCAGACCGCCCGCTGGTAGGAAAACGCCCAGGCCAGGTTCCCAGCCACTTCTGCGTGTGTGCGAAAGCAGCACAAATCCCTGCCGGTTCAGAGTGGAGATGAAACCCGAGGCAGCGGGTTCCTCGTGCCAGACCTCCCAGATCTGTTGGGCGCGCTCCCTGCTTTGAATATGGCTCAGATTAAGGATAATTGGGATTGCATCAGGAAAAGCATCGCCCGCCAAGCCCGCTCTGCGGTGGCAGCCGCTCGGAAATGTTTTCCTTGAGTCGCTCTGCAGAGCAGAATCCCGGCTCAGCACGATCGCATGGCAGGAGGCTGCTAACCGCAGCCGGAGCTGCTCCTCACTCACTCGGGGGCTAGATCCTTCCCTGGCCAGCCTGGCCTTCTGCGGGGGTGGCTGAGCCTCGCACCCCAGAGCTATGGCGGTGCGAGAGAAGACCAGGATCCGGCCCCGCAGCTCTTAGGAAAACACAAGAACTGTGAGAAGCAGCAGTTTTGCCCAGGAATTTGGAAAGCCGTTGAAAAATTATTTTTCTTTGGCCTGTGGTTCTGCTCTGAAAAAGGAGTGTTTTAACAAAACCAGCCCTTTCCTTCCGACGCCTCCTGCCTTCTGGGAGTGCCTGGGCGCCTAACACAACTGCCCCGGTTCGGATTCCCACACAGGGAGAAAGGGCCACTTCTCCTGGGGCATCCCTGACAGGCCCTGCTGGCCATGGGCTGGTCCGGGACACCAGTGCCCTGTCCATGAGAAATGAGGCACCCCAGGCAGAGCCCCTGTAGCCAGTGTTTGTCCTGCCAGCCGGGGGGGCGGAGAGGCAGCCCCAGTCATCCCAAACGTAGAAGGGGGGTCACACAGGGCAGGAAGTCCCCTGTGAAGATGGAGTCCAGCTGGGCTCTCAGATCCCAGGCTGATGTGAAAGGTCCGGGACACCAGTGCCCTGTCCATGAGAAATGAGGCACCCCAGGCAGAGCCCCTGTAGCCAGTGTTTGTCCTGCCAGCCGGGGGGGCGGAGAGGCAGCCCCAGTCATCCCAAACGTAGAAGGGGGGTCACACAGGGCAGGAAGTCCCCTGTGAAGATGGAGTCCAGCTGGGCTCTCAGATCCCAGGCTGATGTGAAACA